TCAGTTACAAATTGGACACAATTAAAGCATGGTGATGAATCACGTAACAGCACATAATTATATATTGTGAAATATTTATTTCTAATGACAAATAAATGAAATTTTGTCTTGAAGCATGGTGTAGCATGGGTAACAGTCTTCAAGCCGGGTAACATGGGGGCGGACCTGCCTGGAGACGGATGGAGGAGTAGTGTCTCAGTTCCTAAGACCATCAGAAATATGTGTTTTCTGATGGTTTAAGGCAACTCCTGTGAAAAGGTCGTTCGCCCACCCCCCACCCCCAAAGGGGTCGCAACCCCCAGGTTGAAAACCCCTCGCCCAAAAGAAAAGGATAGCTTGGTTAGCAAAAGCTCAGAGGGGCAATGCCCATCCAGGCCACTAGGCGGCTACCGAGTATAACAGATGAGAGTGGGTTGCATTTGCACAGGTTGCTCCAATTTGCTCCAGTTAGTCTTCTCCTGGGCCTGTAGGACACCAGCCTCTGTGGGGCGGAAAAGACCCGTCGCTACCAGAGGCTGGGCTTCCCTTTTCATTTCTGCAGACGTCAAAGGGGGCAGGGGGCAGTCAGCACGATAACACCTGGCCTTTAGCAGGAGCTGAGAGTCAGATGAAAGCCAGGCCTGTCTTAGTTTTCTCTGGGGCTGCATGGTGCAACTCTAGCTCTGCTGCATTTCCCTCACTCCCCGCCAGCCTGTGGTGCAAGGTCAGGAGAATGGGGTCTGGATGCGGACCCCAAGGAGGCCTGGTGGTGCAGTGATTAAGTGCTTCGCCTAACCGAGAGGATCCACCCCACCAGCAGCCTCGGATGCCCTGCAGGCAGTTCTGCTCAGTACTGCAGGGTCTCTATGAGTCTACACAACACATGACTGCCTGGATCTACACTCCTGCTGGGCTTCCCAGAAAATGGTGGAGACGTCAAGATGCTAAAACCACGTAAAGGTCAAGATCACGCACTACACTCAGAGGCATCAAGGCAGTTCCCACTCAGCCCGACCCCATACATACAACAGAGTAGATCTGCCTTTGTGGGTTTGTTTCCCAGACTCTAAACCTATCTCTCTCTCACTGCCACTGGGTCCACCCATACTCTTAGCAACCCTCTGGGGCAGGGTCTAGCTGCCCGGGTGAGTTTCTGAGACTAACTCTGGACAGAAGCAGAAGGCCCCATCTTCCTCTGGAACAACGGATGGTGGTTTCAAACTTCTGGCCTGGAGGTCAGCAGCGCAAGGTATAACCCACTAAGTTAGAGGGCGCGAAGAAACACCAGACTGAGTTAGAAATCCTCAATATAGGCGAGTGTCCCCTCTCCCCTCTCTAGCTCTTCCTGTGGCTCTCCATAGACAAGAGGTTCCAATTCCCCTGCGGAAACTCAAACACTGCTCCCTGGGTTTTCTTGCCAGTCGTCTCTGTGAAAGCAGAGAGCAGGCCTTGCTTCTGCAGCCTGGCGGCATGTGTTTGACCTGTCCGCCCCTGATTTAGGTTCCTAGTTGAAATCAAACCTCTCCCCAAAACTTGTCGGGGGCCTTCATGGGTGGGAATTACTCTCCCCACAAAACACCATCTCTCCACGGTGCCCTGTTCCCCCTACTCCCCGAGGATCCTCAGAGAACTAGCTGGGTGAGCATGAAGAATACAGATTCCAGTGCTGCCAGACCTACTGAATCAGGCGCCTGGGAGGTGGGGTCCAGGCCAAGAACCGCTGCCCAGCACGCTCTTCCTCCACCCTGGGCTCCGAAGCAGTGTGGGAGCAAGTGCCATCGGCACGTTTACCAGTGTGCTTGCCTGTGACCCCCGCCGCAGACTTGGAGCCCCAAAAGACTCTATCTAGTAGCTTGTTCCCTCCCTCCAGCATAGTGGACATCCAAGTCCACCGCTAGTACCTCCCGGGCAGCGCCGAGAGCCCAAGAGAGGAGCCGCTGCCAGCGCTGCACAGGGGGCGCGGCGTTGGGACGTTTGTTTACAGGCTTTTGTTATTAAGGAAATGGCTGTCAGTCAAGGTAATTCTAGCCCCGATGAGCCATAAATATGCCCCCGGCTAATCTTATGAGGATTTTATTGGCATCTGGGGCTAAGGCTCCTTCACCCAGCCCGGCCCCTCCTCTCAAAGCAAAGCCCCGCTCGCTCTCGGGCTGTGTTCCCTCAGCCACGCGAGGGACTTGGGCCAGCCTTGGAAAGCCGTCCGGGCCAAGACGGGGAGTGGCCCACTGGCCCTACCTGGAGGTGGGGGGTGGGGGATGCAGAGCCCGACCCAACTACCAAAAATCAACCTCGGGCGACCAGCTTCCATCCAGCGGCCGGTGCGAGTTCCCACGGGCCGGCCCCGCACGCGGAGTGGGCGGGCACCCGGCCGTGGGGCGCC